ATATAAATATAATATATAAAATAGGTACTGCTGTATGTTTTTCCAGGTGCGGTAGCTCATCTATTCTAGGTAAGTATAAGCTGTGACTTGGTAGTAGTCGCATTCTCGGATATAGCATGGCGAATACCGAACAGTCCCTTATATTCCACAGTCAATACCCAATGGGATACATCCGCTACGTATGCATGTATGGCTCACACACTAATATTCGCATGCAACACACCAGTGTGCATACAACTGCATATGTTCCTCAGGTCTCATTTGTTATCTAATGATGAATTTAAGCCAAGAGAAAATCGAATCATCCTAGAACCCAGAGGTGGGGTGGGTCTCAGGCATAGCTTGCCTTCTCCGACAACAGTACAGCGACTAACGAACAATCCCATCACACCTCAATACCCAATGAGAAATATCGGCTACGGACTGACAATGATATGCGTTTTTTCTTCAAGACGCTGAATGACCTATACTCCTCACAGTCGTCGATGGATACGAACCTGCACATATCGGACGGTTTCGAGCTCATGGGCGGTCATATGCACCTGGATCTGTCCAGTTTCAACCAATTTGAACCGATGACAATGTCTATGTCCTTGGCGTCCGGTGGTCTATCTCCGATGGTATGTTGTACCTTTCACATCCCACCTCGGGAGCTATATATTTTAGGGTTAAGGGGTTGTTTGTTAAAGGTTTGAGGGTTGGGTTTTCAGTGTGAGGAGATTGTGCGTTCAGTTGACTGGTACAGTTTCGACTGGCTTGAGCCGCTGGCAGTGTCTATGACTATGGCTCCCGGCAGTCTGTTTTCAATGGTATGTTCTGACTCAGGGTTTATTGCACGCACCGGTCGCTTGAATATAGGGTTTAGGGTTAGGAGTGTGGAGGTTTAAAGTCATACCCATATATGTTTGTCCACTTCTAATCTGTTGGCATCGATTGATATCTATATTTCTGGCTCACGTCGATATGTCTGCGGAAATCATCGGCACGCACTAGACGCTGGCGTTCCCAGAATTTCAGGGTCTAGCATTGCGTGCTTGATTTCAATAGGGCAGCCCATCCGTCCGCGCAACAGCCAGTCAAAATAACATCATAACATTATCGGCACACGTGGCATTCGTCATCCACATGATGTTCGTATATCGGCTGTAGTAGGCTAGAGTATCTAACAGGTGCTGTAGCGCTCAGTAGGTTGGTAGTAACACTAACAGCGTGCACGGTGCAGAGCACAAAGCTTGGGCGTGCCACCTTGGTTGATAGCGATCGAACACACAAACATGCTATAGTACAGTGCATTCAAAGTTCACTCGTGATACTATATTCGTGACAGTCCCATAGCCAAGAGTTTTCCTCCCATGTCACGCGTGGAGATTTGATACTGTGGTATCTTATACTCGCTACGTTTGATTCGGGACAGTCTTCCCAACCCTTTCTATACCCATCGTACCGTGCTTGGGTTTTTATCCGGTATTGACCAGGTGCGGAGCATTAGCCCGCTGCTAAGACATCCCTCTCACGAAGCATATTGTATACCAATATTAATGTTAATATTAATAGTAATAGTAGTAGTCATATTAACTTTCATACCTCATCTCTTTGATATCAGTATGAACACAGACAGCTCTCATACACTACTCGTATCATCTCCCGCGTGGGCGATGGTCGTATAAATTATGTCTCTTGGTCTATTCTTTTTCGAGTATCCCATTCTAGCTAGGCATCTCACCCTCACATACACCCCCCGCTTTATCGCTTAATCCCCTCCCCCCCCCACCTCTCCCTTCCTTGTGTACTGTCTCTCACACAGGGCACCGATTTCTCGAGGATGTCTAGTATGCCGTTCGGGCCGATGCAGAACGCAGACGACCTTATGGCTGACTGTATGTATCCGTATGCTGCGTTAGCAGTCGATTGGCAAGAGTGCTGAGCTATCTCCTTGTGTCTTGTTAGTCTCGCTGCGATAAGTGTACGTATTTTGAATCGATCCACATACATGCTCATGCTCAGCTCGTCTTGTGGTTGGTTGGTTGGTTGCCCTGTGATTAATAAGAATCACAGCCGTCCTGATGTGCCTATGTAGTGTGATATATCTTGTGAAGGAGTATAGCTTGTCACTCAACCAACGCACACACACACACACATGCTCACACGCACACACACACACACACACACATACACATACACATACACACACACACGCACACACA